CTCCTGTAAGGTCTGTGCATCTACATTGAGACTCTGAGGGGTAATTCAGGGTAGTGTTTCTCAAACCGAAAGTCACAAGTGCTTGTTTGAACGATCCCAAGTGCCTGGCTCACGGTCAGAGCCCTCCAGGCACAGCCAGCCGGGTTCCTGCTGAGGCGCAGGCTCCCGGCACAGAGCACTGCGCAGGGAACGCGGCAGCTGCAGCTCAGCCCGGGCCCGGAGGAGCTGCAGGGGCCGCTGCGGGCTGCACTTGGCAGTGCCCACCGTTCCCAAGGACCTGCAGCAGCTCGGGTCCTTCCCTTGGGAAATGCTGCCAACATTCCAGCTGATCCACGCTCCCTGCCCCAGGAAACCTCAGTCAATTCCAGCACAGAGAGCCTGTGCAGAGATACAGCTCACAGAGATTGTGCTTTCAGAAACCTTGAGAAACACTAACGTAGGAACACGAGTACACACAGGACATGTGAACGCTGAAAACATGCAGGTGTTAACAAAGTGTGATGTCACACACCAAGCTGAACAACTTGATTGTGAAGTTCAGCTTGAAGAAGTAATAAGATTATGAGGGAAGACATACAAGTGAATATTGTGGCAGAAGAAGTGAGCCTATGAGTATTGATCTGAAGCCTTTATCATGTTTTGTTTCTTATTTGGATAGCCTACTTATTGCTATAAAGTTATTGCTATATTCTACCAATGATAAAGGCAAAAAAAAAAAGGACAAACAGCAACATTATAGATGGAAAAGGTAGAATACAGCTTCTGTTTAGATGTTAAAATTCTATTTAGTACCTGAATAAAGTTCCAGAGAAAGACTGTATATTATGTTACGTATTTTTCTCCTCAAGTCCAGTGACTTAGCATTATGTAGCAAGCCATTATCACAGTACTAGAATTAAAGCACATACTGCAAGGATTTTTAAATAAATACTCATTTACATTTTAAAACTTTTCTTTTTGTTGTTGTATTTGGTATTTGTATGCATTTGCCCTCATTTCCACCAAATGATTAACTGACAGAAATACTTAAGCAAAAAGAAAGTAAGAGGCTAATATTCAAATATATTAATGGATGTAACTTTAAAACTGATATATACTAGTATTAATAATTAAAAAATAGTTCTAATAGTTATGTTTCTCCAGCTAGGGAAAATAAAGATGTTCTGTGCAATCTGAATCAGCTAGCACAGGTAGAATTCCATACTCAAGAGAAAATTGCCTATATTTTTGGATATTGTGTAGTAAGTGCTGTTTCTGGCGTTTATATTAATAGGTTTGTCTGTATTGAGGAGTTTAGGAATGTCTAGGGAAAAAAATCCATGTCATTTGCACAGCTTACACTGTGTAAGTTGTTTTGTTCATCAAGTACAGACTGGGGATTGTCTATGCCAATCCAAAAAAAGATGCTGTAATGCTTGGATCATCACACTACTCAGTTAAAGCATCTTAGAGCTTGTCCATTCTAAGTGTTCCATTGATGTGCAAGTACATAAATAACAGGGTCCACTGCCAATCAGCAGCAGGAATTCTCATCTCAGCTGAAGATGCTGGAACACCAACTGACCACACTTGCTAAGTGCCTGTCTGCCTTGGAAAGCCATTCCCAGCTAGACTCAGCTGCCAGCCTGGGAAACCATAAGTATGCTCTCCCTATTTATTAAGCAATCTCAAGTAACCAACTGGTAGCTGTATACCCGTGAAAAAACCCTCAAAAATACCAGAAAACTGGGGCTTTCTCCAAGCAGACACATTGAATGGAGGAGTCAAATTCACTCTCTTTCCAATGTAACCAAGGTGCTGCAGTCTTGCTCGTTTTGTTCGTAGTTGTTTACTTGCTTTTCTACTTGCATTTTCAAAAGAATGTGAAGCCATAAAACAAAGCTAATTGGGACAGGCTTCAAGCATCCTAGTTTGGCACTGGAGACTTCTGAACATTGTTGGGTTTTGGTGCCATTGTAAAATCACTGGAATTGCTGTATTTGATGTACTAAATATGAAAATTTCTTCAGCTGCAGTGTTTCTTTGCAGCCAGGTTTTGGCTTTACCATGAAACATCTGCAGCAATGACAGACAACATTTGAAGTGTTGTTCTTGTACTCCTGCAGATCTGTGTTCCTTTCTATGTGACTTCACTGATGAAACTTAACCATGACCTTTTCATTCTTACTGCATTCTCACAAATGGATTCATTTTCTTTGATAACAATTTAAATACTAAAAAGCTGCTTTCTATTGCAGAACACTGAATTTCAGTTGGAAAAGTAGTCCTATCATTATAAAAATGTTCAGAGAGTATTGAAATTAATTTCAATCATATATTTAGTGGGTCAGCATTTATTTTCTAAAATATAATTGTAAAATCTTTGCATTATTTGGGGTATTCTGTTTTGAGCACAATACCAACCAAAAAGCAGCTCTACTGCAAGAGTGAGCAAGAGAATGAGGCACACATAGAGCATTTAGTTAAAAAAAAATCCGCTTCTCTTGTGCCTCGGGGCAGGGGGAAGGGAAGAAATATTAGCATATTTTTGAAAAAGTAATTTGTTCCACCAGCAGTACTGGCCACCCTGTTGAAGAGTTTTAGAAGATCCCTGAGCACATTAGTTTCTGACTTCTAACCCCAGCTCCAAAATGATAGGGCTTCTCTTGATAACGAGATGGATTGTCATTCACAGTTAAGTCAATCATAAGGTGCTTAATCTATTTACCCTTTTTTTCACCAATCAGCACAAAGAACTGTCAGAAAATAACTTTTATTTTTCTTTTTTAAATAATAAAAGGGAACAAAATTTAAACAATCGATGTTTTGTGACAGTGGTTTAGGATTATTATCTGGCTGCCCCTCAACAACAGACAAGTGATTCAATCGACATTCCTTAGCAAAAAAAGGAAAAAAAAAAAAAAAGGAAAGAAAAGAAAAAAGGCAAAAAAAAGAAAAATCCTGTACAAATATGTATTTTTCCCTGAGGGATCAAGGTTACACCCGCAAGTGCTCTATGTACATATTGCACTGTAGAGGAATGAAGAACATGTGCAAAAAAAGCAACAATGATTGAAGCTTACTAATCAAACCTTTTAATCATGACTGCTATGTCATCTTGCATTTTGGAATGTCGGAACACAGCTATTCCTTTAATCTAAAATGTAAAAATAAAAAACAAGAAAGAAAAAGAAAAACGCACCTCTACTATGGCACATTCAATGAAATAAAAAGTTTTCCAAAGACAAATAGACAAATTCCATCAAGAAAATAATACAAAGTTCGTTCGTTTGTGGTTTTTTTTGTTTTTTAGAAAAATTACATTACTTTCTTTCATTGTTTCACATTACAAAATCTTTTTTTTTTAATGTTTACACAAATCACATTTTATTGCAGGAATATTTCAAGTGCCATCAAACATTTATAGAAGGGTTAAAAAAATAGAAGTCTCTCTAAAGTGGTCCAGACAAGGCTTTGTATAGAATAAATCTTTTTACCACCTTCTATTTTTGACTTAAGTATTTTGAATACATTTTCTTTATTCCATTGACACTTAACAGCCTAGAAGCAGCCGCTCACACGTCCCACGCATACACTCATGTGCGCACACAATGGACTCTCTCACACACACAGGTGCACATAGACAGATATCTTGGTATTCATACTAAGATAAGCTAATAAAGAGCAACCAAACTTAAAAACAGCCTCCCTTTTTACCTAATTCCATACGTCAAACAATGCTGGAGGTGATGACATGTATTAGGGTGGTTCATGTGACAGTATAGTCTAGTAGCTCTTCCTAGAAAGCCAGAAAACATCTCCAGGAACACATATAACTCCCAAGGAAAGTATCTTTGCAGGCTCTAAGGACTAGGTCATCTAAACTTGAAATATTATGTTTAGTTATCCTAGTGTTTTTATTTGTAGTGAACTGGGCAGATGATGAAAATACTCATGTGAATATCCACTGACCTCCAGTTTTTAACTGGTTGATAGCAGGCCACAGTCCCAGAGGTTTTGCAGAGGGCATTTCCCCTGCTGTGCTGTGTTCTTACATGGCCATCTCCAAGCAGCCACTCTGGTGTTATTCTGAGTCCCCCTGCATAAAAACCCCCTTGGCAACAGGTGTCTGATCAGTGTGTCTGCTGTTTTTATCCCTCCTCATGAAGGGCAACCCAAAAATTCTACTCTATTGCCAAGTGGCTGTTAACTGTGACCAGGAACGCAGAGTTACTTGGGTGTGAATGTTCAGCTTGATTTAACAAGGTCCCAGTACACATGAGCTCCCACAAACAAAAACAACAGTGCTTTCTGGCCTGGAAGATCAGTCTCAGCTAAGGCCCTATTGGAAACCTTTTAATTGTTATGTATTTTATTACTAAATGCTCCAAGACTTATATTGTCAATGATTTATGAATGTAAATATGCTAAACAGAATCTAAACAAAACCACTGGTGCCTAGATACCTGGCAAAGCACTAATATTCATCATGAAAAGGTAAGAACAGGATGTGACTGAAAACTAATCCCCAATATTTTGCCTGGTAGTCTACATTGTCAGAAGTAGGAGGTGTATCTCATTCTCTAAAAAAGTAAGGTCTGACTTCACTATTCATTAGTTGACACTGAGATTAAGTTTAGTTGATCTTTACAGGACTAGCACCTAAGGCTGGTCACATTCAGAAAACATTTGTTAGTTTAAAGAGGTGCTTCAAAAATAGGAATACACATTAGAATGCAAGTACCATATCATGCCAGTTACTCCAATAAAGTAAACAATGATCCAAGGAAGTGTTTCAGTGGGAGTGGAGTGAGCATGTGCTGGGCTGTGAGCCACTTGTTCAGGAGCAGGCAGGATGGAGCAGGAAAAAGACAGCTCTCTGGAGCTTTTCCAAAAGGCCTCTTCCTGCCTGCAGCCCAGTGCTCACAGCACTGTAGGCGCTCCCCTCCCACCCTGCAGGGCACACTGCTCTGAGGAGGAGGTGTGGTGCTGTGCTCTCGCCCTCCTTGCAAAGCCTAGAGATGAGTGATAGCTGGAACCTTCCCTGATGTGCTAGACTGGAACATGTTTAATAAGTGTCACAGATGAATGTTTCTATTTGACCCCAAAGGAAACGTGTTCAAATCACAGAATAAACCTATATTTTGCTAATAGGAACCCACTGATCTGACTCTCCTTTTTAAAATACTCGGGTTTCGGTGTGCTTCTATTCACTTGTTACTTCTCAACAACTGTAACTTATGTAAGAGATTGTTTACCCTTGGAAGTTAAAGCAGTAGGGCACATTCTGTCTCATTCCTTTTCGTTTTTTGATGTTCCCAGCTTTTTCTTAGGTACTTCATCCAAACTACATTTGTGATGGCCTACAGGGCATCCAGTTATGCATCTGCATCTCACCCAAACCCAAATCTACACCTCTGGCCCAAACACCCGCAGTTTGTAATGTTGTTTATGCGAACCTGCTTCCTTCAGAACTTTGCTCAGACACAGAATTCTTCCTCAAGGGAATGGTAATTAATAACACTGCAAGATTCAGCTTATTGGTTGGTTATGGGATGCAGGAGTCAGAATTACAGAATGCAGGTTTCTGATATTTATGATTTCCAGGCTTGTACTGAGTACAAACTAATGCTTTCTAGCAACAGCATGCCTTTCCTTTCTTAGTTTGTTCCCATCTGATCAACTTTAAAGTGCATCTTTTTAAACAAGGAGAGAACAGACTTCTCTGCTCAGCTCCCTGAAACTGAACTGCTGGGTGCTGGAACAATGGGTCAGTGTGTCTCATCTCACTGAAGCCAAAGACAAACCTATGGATTTGGACAGGCTACAGCTTGGCATTGGAAGGCATTGTTTACAATATGGAGTACAAAAGTATGTAATATTACACGTAAAAAGTGCTTTTCTGCAAGCATGTCATACACACATACTTTTACTGTAGATACAGACTTGAATAAATACTTTCAAACCTGGATTTATGGTGGGCAGGAATGCACTATTTAATAGCCTGATTTTCAAAGATGCTGTGTTACTCATTTGTAAATGATCTGTAATTAATTAGTTCAACTCTGACAGTGGAAACTCAGAACCTTTGAAAATGAGGCTTTTGACTTTGAAACATTCCGGTTTGAAAGACTTGAAAATAAAAGTACCTTTGAATTTAACTTCTGAAAGATTATTTTAATGTAGAAAATTGTCATTATTTTCAACTCTTTAAAAAAATCTCTAACCATTTCAGGATATGACCAGCCTCTCTTTAAAAGTAACATGGAAAACAGCAGCATAAATACCTCCCAATGTACCAGTACCTGCCAAACCTTTTTCAGTTAAACTTGAATTTCTGGTGCACATGCAACACAACAATGAACACGCTAGCATTTAATTTAAAGAAAAAGGTGCAAAATGAAAGTGCCTTATCAATTCAACAAGAAAAGCTATACCAGTAACTACATTTTATATTAATTAAAACAATATATAAACAATATCTCTTTTGCTATATATAGTCTTCATGCCCATTTACCCTGTAATATATTATAATGCTATTGTTGCTATTGCTATGGACCCTTTTCATGCCGTTCTGTCTACTGGCAAACAGTGGTAGGTGAAAAAAAATTGTCCTTCATGAAACAATGAGCAAGTTGTGCAAACTGATGCTGAAATCTCTGCAATGCACACCAGTCGCTGATTACTAGGTGGACTCTGTTCTGACCAACAAATTGATTGTTCTGTCAAAAGCCTGGGCAGTGAACTACAGGAGAAAACAACCTTCTGACATTAGTACCCTCAGTCTGTGTAAACAGAGGTCAAGGATTGAGAAGCTGAGACAGAAAAAGGGTCCATATTTGTAGGCATAATGGAAATCATATGCATGAGAAAAACAAGTTCAACTTTGTTTCATTGTTTCCCATCCTTCGCCTGACCCCGACCACCAAGAGATGTGCAGTGTGTTGGCTCCCTAGGTCTGTGCAGGGCCATATAAAGTGTCTTGGTTTTCTTTCTTTTTTTTTTCCTTTTTTTTCCTTTCTTTTGTTTTAATGTTTGTACTTCAGACATTCTAGAAGTGCTTAGGTGATACGTTTACCCATCAATTTGCATTGCTGGCTCAAACTCTGAAGTGAACAACTCCTTGTAAAGTGGAGGAAAATGAAGTCGCACAATGTCTGGGTATATTGCTTTAAATGCCATAAGCTTTTCTGTATGTCGTCCACACAGTGCTCTTAAAGTAGACACTTTGCATATTAACTGTAAAAAAATGAACACAAGTCACACGGTCATACATGGAACCAGGCCTCCCAATCTTGCTGTAAGGATTAAAGCTCTCCCAAACCAAATTATTAACTTAACAAGGACATTTCAGATGCACAGTCATGGATATCTGCTGGAAGTATTTAAGTAATGGACTCACAGCTATTTTTGAAATAATCTTTTTTAAGTTCTCAGGAAAATGTGGCATTAGGTTTCCTTGCTGGATTGAAAAACAAGTATTTCAGGGCTGGATCTTCACTCATTAAATTATCCTCTTGGAAGAAGGTAATCCCAACTGCTTTTAAATCCACTGTGAATATTATGGAGGGAACTGGCAATGCAATAGATTAGATTTATTTACCTTAATTGAAATAAGGTAAAAAAAATATACTTCTAAAATATCATGAGGGTGCTCCCTGAAGTTACTGAGTAAAATATTCGTATCAAAGCATATGGAAGACTTTTTCTTCTGACAAAGGTATCCAGAGCATACACTGAGAGAAAATTACATGAGCCAGGATTTGAAATTAAGAAAATCTGCAGAGCCTGTGCTGGACCATCCTGCTTCTACTGTAAGTAATTCTTTGGTGTGAAATGAAGCATAAGCTCTGGCTGCGCAGAGGTGTAAAAGGAACTACCTCTGCAAGGTAAAGTGCCTGTATTTCCCCAGTTCTTCAGATTTACTTCTTGCAACATCACACTAGTTTCTCATTTCTGAGAAATTCCATGAAGATACTTCAGTAGGTAGTGCCTCTTTTCCCTAGGCGTCACTTTTGGAAGAACTGAGAAAAAGGCTGTGTGGGGAACTTCTCACGGAAGTTGGCAAAGCAAGTTTAGTTTGTGCACTGCAAGTTATAACAACTTAATTGTCATGCAGCAGAGATTCCACAAATACTAAGGCATGCATGTTGTGGCACTGAAATAGTATTCTGTGTGGCAGGAGTGTTGTGTAGGAGAGCTATCATAAAAACCTTCATCACTTTTCATGAAGTTCCACATAAAAATACTCCCTTTCAGATCATTAGCAACCTTGTTCCCTAGAACATCATCATTTCACCTCTTCTAGGTTTAAGTAACAAGGTTCAACTGAGCAGCTCCACTTTGAACAAAGCATTCTGGGTTTATAAATAAATTCACTGCATATGAGCTTTTACCCCATAATCAGGGCAGTGTTCAGGTGAAGGCACTCTTTCACAGTCCTGTGCCATGGCACAGGATGACCCTTACCTTTGTCAGAATTCCATCTTCTCGGTGGTTCTTCTGTAGGACGTGCTGAAGTGCTAGCTGGATCTTCTGTTGGAGTTTTTCAATTTTTACTTTCTCCTGAAGCCATGAGCGATCTGAATATAAATGGAGTTAAAACCTCTAGTAATGCACACATGGATCACAGTGCACCAGGAAGTACTAAGTCTGTTACAGATTCCTTTTTCCTATTTGCAACCTTCCTTCCAATTGTCATATATTTTCATATAGAAAATGGGCTTCAAAATCAACAGGTTTTGAAATATATTTATTACATGCACTTAAAGTTACTTTTATAAAGCCCTCATTTAGGAGAATGCAATGCATCTGAGTAAGATCTATTATTCATTTGCAAGAAAATCTGTGAAATGCAGGGTGTTTACAAAATGAGGCTAGCAACTTTTTACTGGGAAATTAATAGATCATATAATGAACAACTACTTGGAGAGGATCATCTTGCTAAGATCTTACAGAACTTAGAGAAAGCCAGCAGAACTTACAGTGACTGACAGAAAAATCAGATGCAAAGATTCAGCTATTAAAAATTATACAACAGTTGAACTTCCTGGCAGAAAAGCAGTATTAGCTGTGACAGAACTGTAGGGTTCTGTAGGTTGCTAAGACACAGGGCTAACACACTTCCTGTCTGGCCCACAACATGAGAACATATTGATGGCAGACTCAATAAAGCCACCATTGCTAACAGAATGAGACCACTATGGTGCAGTCTGAACTCACAGTTTCCTTCCTCAGTTGTCAGGCCAGGCACACACTGACTTTCTGCCCCAGTACCTTGTTCCACCTGACCTAAGAAGCCTTTCCAGGACCTGGAGAACACTGTGCACATTCACCTGTGATTATTAAGTTATTTTAGCCACAGGCATGGCAGACCCAGGCTGACTTTTGGGGTGACTTGGATGTCTTGCACCATAATTCTCAGTGTCCCCAGTCACACTAAAATGGCACTGCTGGAAATTTTCTGTTGTGCTGCAGCTGCAAGCTCACACACATGGACAGCTGCCTATGGGAGTTCAGTAACTGCCTCTCACCAGGATTGGCTCATGAGTCTCACTCAAATGCATTTAAGCCTTTGCAAAGAAGCTGAGTCCTCAACAAGGTGAAAATGTGGAAAATATGGGCATAGATTAGGATTTCCAATTTAACAAAATGGTTCCTAAATTCATAGTTTTAATGTGATTATTAAAATAAAAAAATTGGTGAGGAGAAGACACTCTAAAAATGTCCACAATGATATTTCCACAACATCTGATAATTGTAACATTATAATTAAAAAGTCCTGAAAATAAAAACAACCCCTACCAAATAAGTCTAGAGGAAATCTTCATCTCTTACCTGCTGACATTAAAACAAACGCAGAAAACAAAGCTATCTCATCTTCTGTCAGGTGCATAGAACATAAACTTTTTCCAAATTCAAACACAAAGCTAATGAAGTCTTCACAACCTGCCAAAAAAAAGCTAAGCTCTTGTTACATTGTTTAAAACTACTTCAGCGCTACAGAGTTATTGATTTATTCTGATGGAGACGAGAAATAGATGTAAAACACTTCAAAGGTGGTCTTCTCCTTAAGGACTGGGAAGTGATGGCAGTGAGATCTCACTCATCCTTGAGGATATTACTCCACTCCCACAAGTTCCCAGCTCCCACATCCTGGCAACCAAGACTGACAAAGTTTTGCACACTGTATCTTTTCTACACTGGGTTCTCATGGGGTGAATATGAATAAATCTCAAGCCATTTACTTTCAAGCTCAAAATTGCTCTACCTTTGTTTCTGTTCTAAATGGAACCTTGTCATGTCAGTGTGGACCGAAGAAGTTCTGACTTTAAGATTATTGAGCACACAAAGTGGGGGAAGAGAGGCACACAGGGACATGCAGGAAGCAAAGGGAGAAGCCAAGGTCTGACTGAACACGGTTCATGCAGAACAGGAACTCCGTCTCCTTCCGTCCATTCTCTTGCTCACACAGGTGTTATTCAGGTTACTGCTGCTGTCACACATGCAGGTACAGTCTGCAAAGTGAGCCCTGCTCTGAGGAGCACCACAACCTGAGAGGCAAAGGTTTTCCTCAGCCTCCCCAGCCTAAACTTCTGCATACAGCTGGTAACAATCCAAGTTATATTTCCTCAGAACCCAGGAGTGTTTGTGCTCTGACCTTGTACCTTGAGGTGTTTTAGAAAGGCAGAGAATACTTCAGTAATTGTCCAGCTTTCTCCACTGATGTATTTTCACTGCCTACAAAGTAGCTTACAGCCCAAATCTATACCCAGTGAATAGATCCTTTTAAAATTAGAAAAAATATGTGGGAAAAAAATTTCAAAATTGTATGTAGTTAAATTTAAAAAATTTATTTACAGTGTTTTACCAGCAAATAACCGGACTTGGCAAAATTTAAAACACCATTAACATCCTCAAAGCAATCATGTCAGTATATCCCAAATTAGCTTAAAATCTGCTGCCTTTTCCAACAGGATACATGAAACATTACATTACATATGAAATCTGGGCTTCTCCTCTCAACAAGTGAGTCCAAACAGCTGTACCCTAATCAAAATGCTGGACTTCAGCACCAACAGTCCTTTACTGCACAGCCTTAAGCTGTTTTACCTCCTGAAATCAGCTTGGCCTCAAACAGAGCCAGAACACAGCAGTCTGAGCTCCAGAACTCTTTTACTTGAATACTATAGACTGATTTTTCAAAGCAGCTGTTTTCCCTTGCCTTTCCACCGTATTATTTTTATTCTGTTTTTTTGTTGGTTTTTTTTTGTTGTTGTTGTTTTTGTTTTTTTTTTTTTTAAGACACAACAATTCACATTTCCTTACCTAAGGACTTGAAAACCTCTGGGCTAGCATACTTGCCATCAAAGTAGACTGTGTTGTTCTGGGAGTCAAAGGCACGGCACATTCTGATGAACACAACCTCTAAAGACCCTATAACAGAAACAAGGGATGTTTGACTAAGGAAGGAGAGCCTGCAGTTGCAAAGAGCAGGTGAGGATTTAATAACAATGCTCTGCATTCATTGTCAGTTTAGTAGTGTAGTAAGTTGCTGTGGTGTAACAAAGCATAGTTTGGTTTGCTGGTAGAATTACAAGAATTCCCCTAAACCCCTTTAGATGTTTTTGCTAAAGCAACTTAGTTAATGGTAATGAACTTGAGTCATTTTTTTAGAGTAATGAAGTCTCTGAAAGCAGCTCATTTATATATGTGTTCACCAAGCCTTAACAACTTGGTCCAGTATCTGTAACCTGAATTACTCCTATAGTATCTTGCATAGAACAATTTGGATTTTTACCTTGAAATATTCACTATTAGCAATCAAAAAAAAATGAAATCCAAGTTTTGCATCTTAACACACTCATTGGTCCCTTTATCCATAACGAAAATTTATTAGATACACTTGAACTCCTTCTCCCCACAATAACTAAGATGTTACTTCAAAGACAGAAATTTTGCAAGGTTTTCCATTATTTAATTTTAAAAGACCATTGTACTGCATATGAATATATGTGTATGCAACCACTGTATGTAACATGTAACACCTTCCTCAGGCAAAACTAATAGAAGCAGACCTTAAAGCTGACCCACATACCTGCTTTTAAAAGCACAATTTGATCATTTTGACACAGTTCCATAAAGCCATCAATGCGTTTGGCAAATTCCACTACATACTGTATAGCTTCTGTTATTTTGACTGCGCATAACTGCCACATTACCTCCCTTTGCTGTTTGGGAGAGAAGAGAAATGAAAAAATTACTAACCAAAGCTCACTGTCAGAAAGTAAACTGAGCTAAAGAAAACCAAACAACAACATGGAGTGAGTTCCCTCCAACACTCCTGGCTGCAGCCTGACCTCAAAACCAGAGCTGCATGTGGGTGAGTGACAATGCAACCATGGAAGACTTCTTCAGTCATGTCACAATAGATCCAGCTCGGAGTACTTTTATCATAAGCCAAAAATGTCAAAGTGTAATGAGTTTGGTCATTTCAGTGGGAATTTTATTCACTGCAGGAAAATAAAATGCCAATTTACACCAACAAGGCGTGATCATATTTTTCCTATCAGATTCTGTATTTTGTACAGAATGCAAATTATCAACCTAGCTCATCTTCAGAAGAATACATATAAATATGTCCATATATGAAGACCATCTTGATAAAAATGTAAGGAAAACATGCAAGTAGTGAGTTTTTCCAGTGTTGAAAATAATGCAGAATGAAATCACCTAAAGTAGAAAAAATTGTACTCCGAAAGGTTAAATATTTTTCTGTGGAAATGAAAAATATGTTCAAAGAACAGTGTGCTTCAGCAGTGCTTCCCAAGGCCATTTTCCAAAAGCAGCCAATTGGCAGCAGCTTGTGGAGAGAAGGCACATTGGAAATAACACTGATTAGACCTTACAATACCCTGGTGGCATGGCAGCACTGTGCTGCTGCTCCACAGGTAAAAGCCAAACACTGAGGGACAACTGGAGCATGAATCAGGATTACAGTGAACCCCAAGGCTGGAAATCTGATGGAGCTCTGTGTTTATAAACTCCAGCTAAAGCACAGCACGTAACATCGCAAACTTGGTGGCTTTGCCTTTTGTTGTTGTCGATCCAGGACATTACAATTTAAGAGAAGAAAACAACATGCCAATTAGGATTGAAAAAACTCCTATTATTTCCTATCCTTTACCAGAGACAGATTTTAGGAGAATGTCTTTGCCTTTTCCTATACCTCTAAAAATCACAAATGCAAAAGATATCGTGACCATACTGCTGCTTTTGATTCTAGCGTATTATTTTTTTAAACACACAGAAATATACATTCCTGATAGTAAGGAGAAAGCAGTGAAAAAGTGAATTTTGCAGTGTGTTATGGAAATACCATGCTTTAAAAAACCATGCCGTATCTTGGCATGCTTTTATACCTTGTTCTGATAGTTCTCAATTTCTTCCTGCAGAAAAGTTTGCCATGTTATCTGCTGTAACTCCTCTCTCAAGTACTGGCAAGTTTCCATGTGTGACTTGGAAATATTCTGTGCAAGATGTTCTAAAAGAAAGAGCAGAAAGCGACACGCGTTAGAAATGCAAAGCTATACCTTCAGACACGAGAAAAGCTCGTACGTTTCAGCTGCAACAGGGGGAGGGGAGAGGGTGAGCTGAGAGAGGAAATCGCTTTGCTTTGACTTTCCTTGGAACCGGCGCCGGCAGGCGCAGCCATCGAACGGCGGCCGGAGACCGCGCCCGCAGCCGCCGCCAGGGGGCGCTGCTGACCCAGAGTTGGGCACCGGCACAATGCGGCGCCAAGGGGGCACACGGACACCGCGGGGAACACCGGGCACGGACACCGCGGGGAACACCGGGCACGGCGGGGACACACCGGGCACGGACACCGCAGGGGAACACCGGCACCGGGCACGGCTGGGACACACCGGACACGGCTGGGACACACCGGGCACCGCGGGGGCACCACGGACTACAGGCGCAGGAACTGTGGGAAGAAGAGGGCGATGGAGCCTCTGGCGATGGAGCCTCCAGCGAGGGCACACAGCTGGACAAGGCCGTGCTGAACGCAGGGCACATGAGGGACGGGACAGAACGGCACTGCCAGGCAGGCAGAGCTGCCAGTGCCAACGCTTTCCAATAGGGAAATACAGTTACCACCTGTCTAGCACTCTCTCAGGCAGGACTCTGGTCCCATGAGGCTGCCTGGGAGGGAAAAGTGTCTTTTTTTTTTCCATACTCTCATAAAATATAAAAAATATCGTGAAAATGCATCTATTAGAGAATCCAGAAGACTAAGATAACACACTAAAAAATCCCTAACACTAGGGGTTGTTTTCCTTCAGCTTTAGAGTAGCCACCTAGTTTACTGCACATGATTTAAAAGTTCCATACGTTTTAATTTGAAATAGAATTATTTTCTGCTGCTACACTTGATTAAAAGATGCATAATGCAGATTTAAATTTATTAATAAAACCTAATTCCATAAACGTCTAGGAACACTTTCAAAAGCCTGAATAGAATTTAGATACCTAAGTTCCACTTTTATTTAACTTCCCCTTTTCTACCGTGACCCTTCAGGTGGGCATGTTCTCCTATTTTAGCATGTGACAAGCAGAGGCCTGGGGACTTGTCTCACAGAATCCTGCTTTGTTTGGCCACTGAAAATGAAGGCTCAAACCAAGGAGGAATGGTGGTCACTACAACATGGAGGTATTCTGAGGAACAGCATTACTGGATCTTCAGTGAAACTGGCTTTGTTTGGTAATGATCAAACAGCTCCTCACAAACTGAACTGCTGGACCAATGTCTGTCAGTAGTTTGAGTAAGATATTGCCTGAAAAGCCTTTAACATACAGATGAAATAAAAGCAGATTATATGTGCTACCTGAGCAATCAGTAAGGCAGAACACAATGTAATTTATACTTTGTCACCATAGCTTTGATGCCTTTCAGAGCAGTTTTGTTTTTTTTTTAACAAGTGTATAGTTAAACACTTCTTCTTGGGAGCAGCAGCTGACAGCATGATCCCTGTGCCCTTGCAGGATGCAGGAGGTGAAATATTCCCATGTTATTCACAAAGCTCTGCCTCACTCTGGGACTGCGTTTCAGCACACACCTAAATATTTTCATTGAACAGCCACACCTTTCTAAATTGAAACCTTCATCTGGCAGAGAAACATTCTTCAAACATTGTTCAGTAATGTTCATGCTGGGCACCCCAATCACGCTGTGCAGGGTTTAAACGAAGCACTGTGTAAATCAAGGTAAGCAGCAGGACAAACTTTGTTAGGCCAGTGGTCCAAACTCAACACTGGGCCTGCAAAGGAAAAACCCTCTATTTTTTTTTTTTTCTTTTTAATACCTTCCATGAGAAAATTAGCAGTCATTTCACCGAGACAAAGCTAGTAGTGCTGCCTTTGTCCTGACATTTTCTTCTCCTTTTTACCTATCTGAAATTATTTGAACTGATGCTACACACAATATTTTGGCTGTCAGGACAAATTACATTGTTGCAGCATTCTGCAACATAAGGACATTAAAAAGCAAGCTTCTTGTGACTTCCTCTCTGAAAAACTTCTCAAAAGAACATAAAATAAACCACACAAAATTTTAATGTGGAATACCTGATTTTTCGAACTAGTTTTAGGTTTTCATAATAAAATAGTTAGAAAAAAATGTTGCTTCAGTAAGTTTTAAGAATCAATTTTAAATGCCTGGCTGCTTACATAAGTAATGGAATCACGAAACCAGTTCTTTGATGTCCTGTTCCGCTTTGTAACACAGCACACTCTACCTCCAGTCTCAGCTGTTGACAAGTCATACTTGTGGAATTCAGCCTTAGTGTAATCATTAAGGGAAAAGTTTAAAGTAAAATGTGCTAATTAATGTGGTTGTTATAAGGCTCTTAGAGAAATTATCAAAACTTGCTACATTCAAAAATGTCCTTCAGTATCTGGGGCTAGATCGTCTTCAATAAGTGACAAGAACTGCCCTCAGATTAGCCCAGTGCTTTTCTCAGGTAAAGAGCAGAAGAAAATCAGCCTGATCACTTATTGTTAGGAGTAACAGTATTGAGGTAATGAAAAAGGAGACAAATTGTTAAAAAATAATCTGCAAATAAAGAAATGCCCTGTTTTCTCAACACTAAATATTACCTTCTTCATGAGTATTCCCAGGGTTCCACAGCAAGGACTGAAAGCAAAAGCAACACTGGCAGCACTGATTAACCCCAGCCCCCAGGGAGCTTCAGTCCAGAGCAGAAAGGAGTTCCCATGTGCCCTGAGATCAATCAGGGTATTCACTGTGCACTTCACACAAGAATGCCCATCCATGCCCACAGCTCTACTGCAGCAGCATTCTCACTATCACTGGCTACACGTGCCACTTTCATCCAAAGGGTACTGTTAAGACAATTACAACGGAAGCTTTTCTCTCTCATTACCTAATTCTGCCATGGACACAGTTGGAGAGGTCTCCCCATTTGTAAAAGAACAATAAGGGAAGAAGCCCGATGCTGGTGTGTAGTCACATATTGGTTCTGGTTTGATTCCATTAATATCAAGACCCGACTGATCTGGAGAAGGCTGTATGTCTAAGTAGAAGCTGCTAACTGCAGAGTCTGCTTTGCTACCTTCAGGGGTATGCCCATCAATGTAATTACTGAGGTCGTCATGTAGCTCTGTTAAGCCATTGGTGGTGATATTGTATGTTGGTGTGAGCGGCTCTGCCTCTCCGGGCTGCTGCTGGTGATCGCGCTGCTGCTGCTGCAGTCGGTGTTTCTGCACCTCGGCGTACAGGCTGTCCCGCTGCTTCTTGGACATTCGACCAAACTTGACAGCTGAAACACACAAGAGATTACATCTCTACACATCCACCGTGCCTTTTCATTGTGAGGCTTTCAACATTCCATGGAAGGATACAGCACGAACCCAAACCTGCAGGATGGACAGACCTAAGAAGCACTTCTCAGTTACAGGTGCACAGCTGCAGCACCTGCTCTTTAAAAGACTGTCTTGACATGCCACTGAAATGGACCACTAAAAGTCACTGGTTTAACTTAATTCATTAACTTTCCACTTCTGTGCTGGAAAGATTTTCTCTCGTATGTCTGTTGAGGTTGCAGATGCATCTCTTCAGCATTCAAACCCTACCTAGAAAAGCAGAAGCTAAACCAGGACACACTGGCCTGAGACAACTGTCCAGTTCCAACCAGCTGTACACTCGTGCTGTGGAGTGAACCTAGAGTGTGGTGCCAACACGTGGGGGCTCTCTCAGTGTATCAACAGCAAGCTTTACTGAGATTGGGACTAAAGCATGTGGGAAGAACCACCAAACCTCCCACCAAAGTGCCTCTGTGACAGGCAAAAATGCTTAGTAGATGAGTAATTGTTAAACCTATGTGTCTGTGTGTGTGCACACAAGTGCATGTGTGTATCTCCACAGCATTACTACAACTTTGAGAAGTATTAGCTGTGAGCCAGCAGCAACTGGTTTGGGAATTTCCAGGGAATTCTCAAGGATGCAGCATGGGATTTCAAGGACCTGTATCAGCTGTAAAAGCTTCATCCTTTAGAAAGGCAACTACTGCCTTCAGCTTTTCTACAGGAAAGCAAACATGTCAGAAGAAGTAGTCATTACATGATCAACTGTTTCAGGTTTTTAGTCTCATGGCCAATAAGAAAAAATAAAGACAATGTAATTCAAGACGTAAATGTAATCTGGGAAAAATCTCCTTGATAAGGCCTCATGCACCTAGAGTAATGTGTATGTATTTGTAGAACATGCAGCGCTGCTGTCACTGTGGCAGGGGAAAAGACTGAGTCAGATCTTCAGATGGGTGAGTGGTGGCAGCTCCCTTCCATCTGTGGGGGAGGCGTGCAAGGCTCAGCTGCAAAGCCAGTTCTGACTGAATTACATAAGCAACTGTTTGGCAGAGGCGGGCTTTCATCACTACTCAAGCTGCAATTTTGAGCTTAATATTTAACAGCGCTGGAACATCTTTTCTTCAGAATTCCATCTTTGTAAAAACACTGCATTATTGTTTTCTTTGTATTTTTTCCATTATTCATTATACTCATATTTAACTTCAGCTGATACTGTGAAGCAGTTCTGATCTGGACTCATGCACCAGGCAGCGCTACTTGCAACTACAGGAGGTCACTTAAGTTGGAATGAGTATATAGGGAATATATCAATGAATATATGAATATATTAACATGAGAAAAACAAACTACATCTTCAAGAAATGACCAGAGACAAAGCTCTTAACTGAGAACTATAATAGGTAAGTAAGAAAAAAGACAACTCCAAGAACTTCATACATGCCCTGATTTGTATATATTCGAGTATACAGCAGCATCTAAAAACACATAGCATACAACATAGAAAAATATGAAGCAACATCTGAAACTCACTCGATGATCTCAACTATCAGTGCACAATTAGCATGTAACCGCTGGTTTTGGCTGCCCGTCCGTGCCAGCAGCCCCCATGTCAGTGTTTCACAGGCAGCAGCGCTTACCATCCCGAGACATCCCCACAGCAAGGCATTTCTGTAAGCGGCAGTGCTGGCAGCGGTTGCGGCTGGTGCGGTCGATCAGACAGTTCTTCTGCCGAGGACACGAGTACGTGGCATTGCTCTGCTGACTCCTCCTGAAAAAGCCCTGCCGTGCCACGGCAAACACAAGGAGCTGTTAACTGATGGAGCAAATAAAGACTCCGAAGGATAGCAAGGATAGCATACTTAAAAGTTCAAGTGCTCTACAGTCAACTAAGGAAGTTAAAACTAAAGGTTCTGTTGTTTTTGTTTTCTCTCCTGGAAATAAACAAAAACCAGTAACTAGCAAGAAGCAGTTCATTAAAAAAGTGTTGTAACACGTAAAGGAATTACACTTTTTATTCACTGATTTTACATATCCCATATTACATATGGTAGACTAGCTCTTTTCAAATGAGATAAAACTAATTATAGACCTTGATTTCCTATCTTTCCTGGGTTGTCATAGTTCTCCAAAATAGGGAGGATTCAACAGCTACCACCCTGTTCTGCTCTCTGGAGTGACAGTGGCAGGCTCTGATGTTCAGCCTTGCCAGTGTGTGTATGTGTTTAAAAATACACAGCACGATGCTGAACAGTTTCTCCTGCAAAGGACAATTTCTTAACATGCTTTTTAAAGATTCACAGAATCATTAAGATGGAAAAAGACCTCTAAGATCATCAAGCCCAAACGTCATCCCAGCACCACTGTGTTCACCACTAAACCTAAAGTGCCACATTCAAACACCTTTTGAACACTTCCAGGGATAGTGATTCCACCATTTCCATGGACAGTCTAATCCAATGCCTGCCCACCCTTTCAAATCTTCAACCTTTCAGTGAAGATTTTTTTTCCAAATATCCAACTGAAACTTGCCCTACCACAACATGAGGCCATCTTCTTTTGTCCTGTTGCTGGCTGCATGGGAGGGGAGCCTGACCCCCAGCTGGCTCCATCTTCCTATCAGGGAGTTGTAGAAAGCAAGGTGGTCACACCTGAGCCTCCTCTTCACCAGATTAAATAACCTCAGCACCTTCAGCTGTTCCTTATCAAACTTAAAACCAGTGACAGACTTGTGCTCCAGACCCTTCCCCTGCTCTGCTGCCCCTCTCTGGACCCACTCCAGCCCCTCAATGTCACTTGTCACGAGGGGCCCAAAACCAGACACAGCACCCGAGGAGCCTCACTAGTGCCCAGGACAGAGGCATGGTCGCTGCACTGGTGCTGCTGTCACCTACTGCTGCTGTTGTGAGAGTCAGTTTGATGCTGACAGCCCAAGTTTTGTTCAACTTTGTGCAGGATATAGATTCTTAAGGAGGGGAAAAGCTAAAACACGTTTTATGTATGATCTCTTTCCTGAGTAAGCCCAGCTCCAAAGCAAGCTTGGAAGGTTACGCACAGCTACGACTTTATTGTCTCCTCCAGAGAGGTGCACGTCATTCACCACTCTGCAGCTGCTTGCTTTGAAGTCCATTTCATCCTTTTGCCACAGACTGCCCAAACACAAGCTGCTGTGTGTGTAATACCTACTTCACAAGGATTCTGCAAAGATGCAGTCATTCTAAAGAGGCATTTGACAGCAGTGAGCACACTATTTTAGTTTTACGTTGCCACATAATGGATTAATTAACAGTGCTGCAAAGAAAATAGCTCCTTGGAAAGGCTGGGCACCTTTTAATTAAAGCTGGACTTTTACCAATTTGTTATTTACTCAAAGGTTTCACGCTGGAGTCCCTCAGCACATGCACAGATACTTGGTGAAGCAAACAAAGGAAGGACATCTGTATGACAAGTCTCAAGTAGCTCCTATCAAAGTGGCTGCAGACAGAAACATGGCAAAACACTGAGACAAAGCCCCTGCTCAATCTTAGCAGGAAGGCACCAGTCTTTGTTGGTTACATTCCTTTTATTAAAGCTTTACTAGGGAAATATGGAATATTAAAAACAAACAGAAGATGCTGTCTTTAACCCTGTTTTCCTGTACATAATTTTTTACCCTTTTTTTCTGCTCTTTGTTTCTATATGACAGAACTTTCAATCACTTTTTTCATGTTTGTCAATAGGTAATTGTCACTGAGACTAAAAGTATTGCACATATTGAACTCCAATTGAATGCATTTCACCCTATAATAACAATTCAACCTGAAATACCATGGAAATGTCTACCATTCCAACATCGCAACTGATCCCTCCAGAGAAACCAACTCTTGGTAAGTACATTGATTCATTTCTAGTGCTGGGAGCACCATCAGTGGAGTCTGTCACTGCAGGGCAAGGACAAGTGTGCTCACCACTAAACCCCCAGTGCAATGCCATTCACCACAAAAACAGGATTGGGGATTGAGCTGACCAGTGACTGGGTAAGGTTGTGCATCAGTCCCTGAAAATTTCAGTTCTCCAAACACTCTTCCAGTTACACTGGATGACATGCTCACACATGAGCTGCATGAAACCCTCTGCCACCTCTGAGATTCTGCAAGTCAGCCTAAACAGCATGTGAAACCAACATGTCCCAATAACCTCAAGGATCCATATGTTTTCCTTTAGCTGAGATATCTATATGTACACTGATTCTGAATTGCCACTTCGGCATATTTTATTAAGAATAGCCTTGTCAAACTGAATGTTATTTTTAGTATTATAATGGAGAAAATACTGGCCTTTTTCCTTTTCCAGATTTTCCCTAGAGACACAGCTGCTCAATACATTTTAGTGTACAATATATCAGCTAAGTTACAGCTTGAAGCTAAATTTCCAGTAGAGCAGAAATGCCTGAACCCAGGCCTTTAAAAGCACTTGCACTTTACAAAGCAGAGATACAGTAAATTGCTTTTAAAAACAAACCCAAGAAAACATCAGCACTAGGTAAAAGAAAGAAGAAAGCTTGCCACAAACTTCAAAAGCGAATCTGAACTTGTGCAGAGCTCAGAAACACAGGTATCTGACATGTGGGAGCAAATTGACAATGAAGGTCAAGTGAGGATTTTTGTTCTATGGTGCTGTCATTTACTTGTGAGTTATGTAAGCTTTTGGTGGTCCTTGGGCTTTCTCATCACTGTAAGACACGTGGGGAAGCCCCTATTACAGGAGCCTTCTGTAAGTACCTACAGTTTCTTTCCAGGCTTTTTCTCTCCTTTATTAAAAGGAGAACACTATTCTGTTGTTCTAGTCCCTCTCTTTGCCAGAGGCACAGGGCTGGCTATAATTTTTCCAGCAGGAAGGAGGAGGTGGATGCATCCTTGGTACACGAGTATACGTTCAAGCCTTACGCAAGCCAGCCCAGGCCACATGCTTCTTACTGCGTGCATGTTTACAGCCATCACTCATGTGACCCAATGGGCCAGGCAGAGGCACCCTCCTGACAGCACGGACACAGCACGGACACAGCACGGACACAGCACGGACACAGCACGGACACAGCACGGACACAGGCTGGTGCTGCACTGCAGCAGCCCCGGTGTCAGAGCGCTCTGGCCCAGGCATCCCGGGCCGTGTCTCAGCCCCTCCTGATGGCAGCACAGAGATCCAGCCCCAGCACTGAGCTCTGCACATTCCCTGTTCCTCCTGCAGATGGATCCACCTGGCGCCAGAAGAGCAGAGCAGTAACAAGCCACAGCTTGGTCCCTGTGTTTCAGACTCCTGTTTACACCAACACAGTCTATGGGTGTTTGTTCACTGCCACAAAATCAGGTTTGGGGAAAAAAAGAGCACAGGAACTTCTCTGTAAGTCAGTTGGAATAACAACTTGTTAAAAAAGGACTCTGAAATGTAAATAGCAGTTCTTGCAAAGTCTGTTAACAGTGTCAGTGGCTCCTGTGCTCGGCACTGCAGACGCTGGGTCTGAGCTGGCTCCTGAGCCACCTGTGCCCCCCGGGTGTCCCCAGTGGCACCGCACGCGCTCCCCCTGCACCGCGCACGGCTCAAACACTGAGCTCATGTTTGGTCTTTTGACAAATTTTCATTTAATGAATTGATTCCTACAGTTCATTAACATACCCACTTCCACTTCTGTATACACATATGTCTTAATTAGCTGCTCATTGGCTGTTTAATTACAAGAAAACAGCTGACAGCTGCCTTGCTGCATCCTAATGGCAGACGTTTTGGAATGACTGTATGTGAGCCTGTGACAACAAAGGCTTATTCATAATCCCATGATTTATGGCTAATACTTAAAGACTTCCATGTATCATTAAGTTTTGCAATATTCTGAGAAATTAACAATTAGTTTGGGGGGGGAGTAATTATTTTGCTGTTTTCTAAAGCAAACCAACACAAATTTTCTTCAAAGAAACATCAGAAAAATACACTGTTATACAAAAGACAAACAAACATTCAAACTGGATTTTTAACCCTTTTATGACCACCAGCACATATTTTAGTTGTTAAGGTAGGAGAGTGCTCTGACAATATTGTTTAATAAACGGTGTTAATAAAGACAAAGTCATAGTGTCACTGAAAACAGAGCAAAACCATTCAGCTTTACATCAGTAATAAAGACAGGGTGAGCTTGTGTTTGTCAACAAATGAAAGCAAGATGGGCAGGGACAGCACACCACAACAAGATCATCTAAGGTCTTAAAAGACACAAGAGACAAAAGCCAGTACTGATAAACCTTCTGATAAGCATCTGAAATGCCCAGAAATGCCCTGCATGAGGGGTTTTCTTAGAGCAGCTACATGCAGTCAGGTACAGAGAGGGATTGCTACTGCACTGGTGGGTCAGCTGGGCATGAACTACTGACAGCAAAACCCAGTAACTGCATCTGCAAATTAAATTATATAGTTCATTGAATGACCACGTGGAACTGAATTCAACTCCCAGCTAGGAGAAAAGAACATGGATGTGTACAAACCAGTTTCCTTTCCCTTCCTACAGCATAAAAGGTGTTAATGGGTTCCCACTACTAATGGTTGAGTGAAGTGCTCCATACAGATACCATTTTTTTCAGCAGTGCTCCTCCAACTACCCTCTCTTAAAAAATTTATTTTATTTGTAATAAGCCACAGAAGACTTCCAAGACAAAGTGTAAAATACAGCCTGGCTAAAACCTCAAATTTTCAGTTAAGGGGGACATGATGAAGGGGTGTTAAGTTTTCCTTTTTTAAAGGCAGATTCAAATTGAGCTGAATAGGCTGAAGGGTTGGCAGTACTCAATGCCTTTGCAAAACACTGCCACCAACTTCCTAAGAACAGCCAGCAACATCACTGCAAGGTAGGAAATGAAAACTTCCCAAGAAACACTAATGGGGTTTACTACAAATCTTCAAGTCTAGCTATGTGAAATGCAGTGTAACAACTCAACCTGGTCAGAACACTTTAAAGTCTGTGAAATGCAAGGGCTGCAAAGCAGCAGAAGAGCAACAGGACCAGCAAAAGTCAATCTGACAAGAGCTGGTCTGTGATATCATCCCTGATACAGACTAGGTTTTGAATAAACTGTATTTCTGCTGTTTATCAGTATTTCCAGAGTAACATCTAAGTTAACATTAGGATTAAGTAACATTAAAGTTCACACCAAACTGGAATGAAACCAGTCCAAGCTGAAACACCCCACTTTGCTGTGGCTGTTGCTGCCTGTAGATCATCCCTGACAGGCCTGGCTTGAGGGCAGCAGCACAGCTGTTCCCTCCTGACAGCCACAGCCCCGCTCCTGCCATCTGATGCACGTGGGTGGCTTTGTGGCACCGTGCAGAACCTCCCTGGCTTCTCTGGGACTGGGCACGGGCTGCAGCAGCCGAGGCACAGCACTGGCAATGAGCTCTTTGCAGCCAGGGACTTTTTACAAAGGAAGCTTTAGCACAACATGAAGAGCAACATAAGCATGCTCAAACCTGCAGCAGTCACAGCCACAGAAAAGCTGGGAAAAGAAAGCCATACCAATCCACATCTGGCTGCTTTGGCAGGAGCCAAGCTATGCCAACCTCTTCGCCAGCCAAAATAGTTCTGTTGGGTGAGACTTTGTTGACAGTACTGTGGAAGAGTGCAGCACAAGAATCCAGAGAATCCAGAATCCACAGCAGGTCATTTTATGCTGCCTAGGCCATGATCATGTAAACTCCTCCTGTGACTTGTGCCCAGCAGCAGTACCCCAGTCTGCCAGTCTGGGCTCTGGCATTAAAGGAGACTGAGCTTCTCAAAGGAAGGTAACTTGGTTAACCAAGTATTGATTGGCTTTAAAATTCTGTCTGAAATCGTATGGCTACAAAACTTCACTGTGCTCCTTGAAGAGAAGGAGAAAATGCCAAAATCATTCACTGGGCTACTCTTAATTCTCACCTTCTGCCTTCAAGGTTCAGAGGGGTTTCAGTGTGCTGAGCACCCCTGCCTGCTTGCCCTCCCTTCTGCCCTTCTCACCAGCTGACCCTTCTGCTGGAATCCTCAGAAGAGAGGATTGCACAGAGCTCCAACAGAACTTGATTTATAGAGCACTTGGAGGAAAATTCTTTGTTCTAGAACACAGTATAGTGCACACACATTCTCACTCAGTGCATGAAGATGAAGGAAGGCAAACACAGCTGGCAGCTTCCCTGTCCTGGGCTCCTGCTCTGCAAGGAGCCCCATGTGGGGAGGCCCAGGCCAGCAGCTCGTTAACCCTGCTGTGTCTGCACTCCCAGTACTCTGCTCCCAGACCATCGAAAGATTAAAGAGCCCTCAGACCCTGAACACAACTTGATCCTTGAGCAGAATTCTCACAACAAATGTCTGCACTTCCCACAGCTGAAATCTCACAGACTGCTTAACAACATACACCTGGAAAAAGCCACCACTTTGTTATCAGTGCATTTTTAGTACGTTTCTTGTATTTTCCACAGTAACAGCAGTCAGAAAGGGCAGAAGGTGCTGTTCCCATATCATTCCAAGATTCTTAATTTAGTTTTTTTTCCTTCATTGTTACCAATACTTCCATAAGACTGAGAGGATGTGTTAATGAAAACACAAAAATCTTCCTGTGGAAAACACAAAAGAGAACTTCATAATGTGAATGCAAGGAAGCTACTTTTTGAAGATGGGTTGTGGTATCAAGCAGGTCAGGAGAGTAGACTAAAAACTATTATAATCATCAATTCTTCACACCTCAGGTATAGATTAAGAGGAGAAAACCTATCAGCATGGGATTGCAACATTCATCCATGAAGAGAAGAACAAGCCAGAGCACGCTGTGCACACTGTGTCACCCCATGCCAGCGCTGTAATTCTGCACTAGGGATCAAAAGGGGTGATCAGCTTCACTCCTGCCTGCTGCTGGCACTGTCCAGTTCAATTCCTGCTTGTAACAGACACACTGAACAAAACAGAAATGCTTCTAGTGCAATCCTTGTTCACTTGATTTACCAAAGGTACAACTCCAGGAAAAACTTCAAAGCCTAAACCTTGCACAGCAGTGACTGCACTGCAAGGAGCAGACAGCGGTCTCAGCAAGACCTGAGCACGCTGAACACCAGGAGCACGTGCTGCTGTGAAACATCTCCCCTGCCAAACACAAGAGATTTGTATCTGCAGCAGAGGGCAAAAGAAAACAGAGGGGAGAGCTCTCCCCTATTTCAGCAGAGCTTCATCGCAATTCACAGAGCCAAACCACACGGGGAGGTTCAAAAAAGCCAGACTTGTCCTCCCTCAGCTGAATGCACTGAATGCTCTTGGTGCTGTGCTTGACCAGATCATCTCTGTACCTCTTCTGCTTATGCAGAGAGACAATGCACAGCACACCCAGCACAACTGTGTGACTGGAGGATTGTCCTAAAATCTGCAGCAGTGTAATGGTGTGTGTGTCATGGAAACATCCTATTTAAGGTCCAAATAAAACCAGTACTTCAGAATCCCCAACTATTTTATATTCAACTTAGGAGCAATGCTTGCTCTTTAAAAAAAGAAGGAAAATTATCACTATCAAAAGGATAAATGCTTCTTTTCAGACTTAATATTTTAGAAGCTTACCTTGCAGCCTTCACATGTAATGACACCATAATGGATTCCTGATGATTTGTCTCCACAGATCTTGCATGGAATAATTTCAATTTGAGCTGCAACAGAAGCACGCAACCAGTTAATTACATTTTCTTTTAAACACCTTATAAAAGCATTCCCTGATCAGCATTTGTACAGTGAAAACTAATAACCTGCTAAACATTATACTGCATTAACTATTCATTGCTGAACTGCAAGGATCCCCTAGAGCTTTGGACTAAATTATGGCTGCTCGTTATATAATAGCTTTTGGGTTATTAAAATGGGTCATTTGAGAAGGTGTTTAAGAACCCACAAGAAGGCTGGAATCAGCATTTCAAAGCCAAAAAGAATAGGAGAGTTCACATTTTGGCCAAAGAGCTAAGATGACACCAGAAAGGTTTCTTCCAAGTGTATTCATACAAGACCATAGCAGGTAACGTTAAAGCTTGCCCTGCCTGGAAGCAAATGCACCACATCCACCACAGCCACCAACACCCACCCAGCCCACACGAGGGGCCAACCCTAAAGAGAAGTTACAAGGTGAGAGCAACCCCATTTTGCATGTCCAAAACTTGCCTATCTGAATGGAAAGGGAATTGGTTCCTATTTGTGTGTTATCTACCACAGAACAAACAAGGCAGGAAAACACAGCAGCACTCAGTTTACTGAAACCAGAGGAGTTGGCACAGTCTGGAAAATGCCATTCATTTATAGGCATGAAAGCTCTGATAAATGTAGTTTCATACATATAAACCCACGCACTGAACTCAGTTTGGTGTGTGACCAGCGCTAAATGCAGCACCTTCCCATGAGAACACACAGGCCCAGAAGGGACTCCTGCCTGCTCAGGGACACCCTCACTGCCTGGGGAGCACAAGGCTGCAGCTGTTCTGCCGGCAGCTTTGGCAGCGCTGCAGTGACCAACAGCAGCAGGGCACACTCACACCTTGGGCTCGGGGTGCCCACAAACACCAGCACACACGGCTGGGTGACTGAAATCCCAGGAGAGCCCTGCTCTGGCTGCACCAGTGCTCTGGACAGGCCTCAGCTGGAACAGCGCAAGTGCAGCTCTGGCTGTGTCTGTAACTGTGACACATTAACAAGGGCTGTCCGCCTCCTTGAGGAGCCCAAACCATTCACAAGCTGCCTGACTGCTTAACAGAGCTCCTCTTTCATCCAATTTACAGCTCTCCAGCCTGTGACAACACACGAAATCACATCTAATACTGCTGTCTTACTATGCATTGGCTTAATTTCAGTTCTACTCTGCTCTCAAAAGGTCATGTCCACGCTAAAAACACTGCATTCTGCATGCCACTGAATCCCTAACTGGATGCTTATTATTAATCAAGAGTCATCTTGATTAATAACAGCAGTGCTCCATTCCACTGCAGCACGGCACAGCTCAGGATCTGGCCCAAAGCATTATAAAAAGATCATTATAAAGCAGAAGCCTAGAGGATTTGCAGCACAGCAGCAACTGTGCAAAAATCCCCCCTCTAAATATTCTCCAGGTGACACCAACTACAACAACGTGGCAGCTGAGCAGCCCCAAATGGGAGCTGTTTGCTCCCCCACTCTGCTGGGGAAGGCTCCAGGGCTTTGGCCAGGCAGGTACCAGCAGCGTTCCAAGCAGCCCCACACAGCAGGACACCACTGGGATCTGCTTCCATCACAAGGACCTTGGCATCCCCTTGGCATCCCTGACCTTCAACCCCCTCCATCCCTGCAGCAATAAAACAACAGCTGAAATTAAGAGGTCTGTTTAGGACACTTAAGGAAGGAAATGCCTCTTCCCCAAAAATGGTTTTAATTTCACTTTGCTTTCAGCTAACACATTAAACACAATGGAGCAGGAAGCGAACTAATAAAAGGGAAAAAACAACGCGTGTGCTGTTTCATTAATGGGCTACATTAATTATTACTGGAGCCTCCTGTGTTTATGAGCTTGTGGCAGAAAGGCTGGCACAACCCCCTCCCTTCACATCAACAAACTGGAGAACAGACTGGAACTCACAGAAACTCAGAATTTGTATCATGTGCAGCTCAAATTCAGAGAGCAATCCTGTGGGCAAATTCCAGAATAGCTCTCCCAAATCCCAGTTGTGCCTTTCCAACACATGATTCTTTTTCTCCTGTGCTGCAGTGAATCAGCAGCCTGCTGCAGCTCCTTGGACAGGGCAGTGACAAGGCTTATCTCCACAGCTACATGGCAACGTATTTTTTACATTTCACTTTTATATCCATAATTACTGCCTTATTTTGAATAGGTATGATATAATTGGATCTAGTTTATCTACAATCTCCAGCATGTTAGTTAAATCACCCATGAAGCCTGTCTATGCAATGCCTATTTCTTAAGCAACAGGACATTTGCAGAGCGTTTCTGAAGGAATGTAACATGCCTTCAAAGTGATGGCCTAAAGCTAGGTTAGTAATAGTCTAAAAGGTGCCATAATTAGTCCCAAATGCATTTTCCAGGGTGCTTTACTGGTAAAAGAGAATCTCCACAGATTCACAGGCTCCAGCTGTGCCAGCATTTGCCCAACATCATTTTTATGAGCTCTGGCACCAAATCAGGAATAGTTTTAGAATTCCTGATTTCCTCAAATTTACATCTTCAAGGTACTTACTGTCAATTAGGCACACAGCATTTAAAACTGCAGCTCAGTGCTGCACTCAGGGATGCAGGACAACGGGACGGATCTCGGAGCACAGATCGCACAGATCGCTGGGGACTGCCACAACCAATTGTGGTACAAATGAACGCACTGAGATCAGATCAATTACTGCTCCACGTGGTGCCTGTGCAAACCAACTCATTGAAATGGAACCCCTGTCGCAGGTTCATACACTTCCCATGCAGCATGAAAGGACTTCAGATACTTTAAACTTACTAAATGCAAATTGCCTGTGCCAAGATTATGCATTTTTTCTTACAAGGGTGAAAATATTTTCCCCACTTTTAACTTTGACATGCAAATATGTACTTGCTAAAACCTTGTTCTTATGCAAACAAGGCAGGTGGGAAATATTTTTACATGTCAAGAATATGTTCCGACTTGGTTTCTCACATTCCCAGAGTTACTTAAAGCTTCCTACTGTGCTCAAATTAATTGTACCTGTTCTCTGCTTACATTTATTTATATGGTATATTTTTCAAGATCACATAAAATACTCTAATTCATGCTTTAGACTAGAATTAGCCTAAATTACAGTTTACAATTTCTGTCTCCTGGGGTGGTGCTCAGGCTGATTCAGACTGGTTCATGCATGAGCAAATTATTTCTTAAATATGAACTGCAGAAAAAAATAAACTCTTGTGGTTGCTTAGGAACTGCCACAGATACCCAGGTGACAGATGTAGTTTGTACTCCCAGATTAAAGGCCTAAGACTCTTTCACACCCTGAAATAACAGTGCTCCACAATCCTACCAAGGCTATCCTGTGCCAAGGCAGCAAAGAGGAGAAATAAAAGCCCAAACAAACCACCAAGAGCAACAAATGGAAGCTGGAGCACGAGACCCACCACCACACAAGATGCTCTGAAAGGGCTCCTGAGTGAAAGCAGGGACCTTGCAAGGGCTGGAGGCAGCAATCCCCACAAACTGATGTCAAACGAGCTCATTCCACAGCACAGGAGATGCTCCTCAGCCCCCCACCAGCACCCTCGGTTCATGTGCCTTCCCTTGGAGCTGTTCCTGTCTCCAGGCTGCCTGCAATGTCAGCTGAGCTTCCAGAAATGGAGTGTGGACCCTGATCTGTGCAAAATCAGACTGAACAGGAACTTGAGCCCAAGGATTACAGGGAGAAAAACACCCACTGTTTTTCCCTCTGAACCTTATTCTCCCTCCCTCCACTCTGTCTTCAGACAGCAACTGTGTGAGGCAGCTCTGGTATGCTCAAATAACACCACAGTCTCCACCTAATTCCTAGGGAACGTGCCAGTGGGACTCCATGACACTCCTGCTGGAACAGCAGATGTGCCTCATTCCCTCCTGCTCCAGGGGACTTTGCTCCCAAACCTGGAACAGTCTCACTGGGCTTGCCTGCCTGTTCTGAGTTCCCTCCCCCAACCAAATCCCCCAGACAGCCTCTCCCATTTTATTAATTCCCACATCATGAAATGTTGCTTTATTCCTTGTCCAGTTTTTCCAGTAGAGAAGCAAGAAAATCTAATTCTGTATCTGTAAGGGAATGCACTGTACAACTCATCATAATCTTTGACTTCTCTCTTCCTAACTCACTGGGGCAGACAGATGAGGGCAGGAGCCTGCACAGCCAAGCAAAGCACAGCTCACCTTTCCCCCCAGCTCTGTCACTTAAACAGAAACACACAGAGCCTCGGTGTGTTACCAGCTCACTTTGAAGAACACAGAGAAAAAAACTGTCTTCCAAAGACAGAAGTTTTTCCTCCCCATTAACATTTGTGAATAAAATGCTTGTTTCTAGTTAATTAATTGTCTTGGGGGAGAAAAAGGACTTTTCCTTTCCTCCTTCTGCTTTCACACTTATTTTAAAATTGTACATGCACACAGTTAATAATTTTTCCCAATTCTCGACAGGAAGGAAACCTCAGATTTGGTATCCTGGGAAGAGCTCTTTAGGAATGCAAAAATTGGTCCCATGTCTGCCTTTTAGGGGAGATCCATCCAGCTGACCTGAGTGATCTAGAAAGTTGGGTAATTAATGAAGTTAATTGTCTTGTCTGCTCTAGAGTGAAGGCAGGAAGAGAGGAAAGGAAGGGAGGAAGCAAGAAGGAAAAAGGGCGTATGATTCATCTTATTCATCACAGACACCACGAACCCTTGAGTGGAGAAGCCTCCTCTTCACTCAACAGTGAAGGAATTTAATGATATTTTAATTACAAGCCTAACTTTTAGAAGGTGAAAGTCAGGTAAATCCCACAATGTCTTACTATTTCTGAATTTAAAAATTAGCATTTTCTGGAAAGGAAACCTGTGCAGAAGGTGCTCCCTCCTGCCAGGGTTTGTGGAGTCCCAGCTGCCCGGCACCAGCGAGACACGAGCACGTCTGAGGAGCTCTGGCCACAGCTGCCAAGGCAGGAGCTGCA